AATGTAAAGTTATATATTATTACCAAAATTACCACTACGTGGAAATTGTACGATTGGATTATTAATTTATATATTAATTTATTATTAATTAATTAATTGATTTCTTGACGAAAAACTTTCTCTACGATTTCTTAGTAATATTTTTCTTATTTCTTAAATGTATAGTTTTTGTCTATAATATTTTGTTCCATTCCATGCTTTGTATAAATTTAAAAAATTTTTGGTCAATCGTTATCAATTAAAATATAGGTTTTATGCAAGTAACATTTTAATTTAAAAAAACATTATTTTTTGTATAATTTGTTAATTTTAAATAACGATAAAATTAATGAAGTCGCCAGTGATGAGTAAAATCATACAAATTTATTGAAATTTCGACCTAACTGGCTAGTACAATTTAATTAGAAACACTACGTTTCGACCCTTAGGTACGGGTCCTTTTCAAGTGTAATTTTCAAGATGTTGATTCGACAGCAGTAAAATTACTAATGTATTAGTACTTTTACTGCACATTAGTAATTTTACTGTTGTCGATCTTGAAAGTTACACTTGAAAAGGACCCGTACCTAAGGGTCGAAACGTAGTGTTTCTAATTAAATTGTACTGGCCAGTTAGGTCGAAATTCCAATAAATTTGTATGTTTTTGTTAATTTTGTTACTTGTTTAAATATGTTCGCTAATTATATTGCAAAATTGAATACATAAATTATTTATTAGACTGTGCTTGGAAAAAGTGCACAAAATGCACTTCTAACGCATCGTTTGTTGACGAGATCGCTATTCTGATAAGGTCAGAGAAATTCGATACTATTGAATGAAGATTATCGGTAATAAGCAGATGGTAATATTCTTTCACGTCACATCGGGAGTACAATGGACTTGCGACGTCGTAGAATCCAGAAAGCAAACAGAATACGAATGGAGCCGACTCGTTGCATGAGTAGATCTTATCGCGATGAACTGTCAGGGGTGGATCACAGGATTGCTCTTATCCCAGCTTGCCCGAGTGTTCATCCCCTTTGACGCGCAACCTGAGCTCAGCCTCGATAACATAATGATGGTAACGACAACGCATGGTGATGCTATGATAAACCATATTCAGTTCAACGATAAGTGTGAAAGATTAGTTATAACTTTTTATGTATAATCTTTTTGTAGATACACTGTTTGTGAATCTTTCAAAATTCAAGCTAAAATAAATATATAATCTGCATATAATGTAATGTATATATTTATGAGGGAGATATAAATAGAGAATGGAAAAGAGAGAGAGAGAGAGAGAGAGAGAGAGAGAGAGACTTGGAAAAAATTATATAAACTTCTTTGTAGACTCTTCAAAAAATTGCACACTTTGTGTTTTTTTTATAGATTCCAATTAGATTGCGGTAGGTTGTTGAAGGGTTTTATGAAAGAGCACGTGTCAAAAAACTAAGCTGACAGATCGCGGTGAATTAAAAGCGCCTATATGTGTGTATAAGTTAGAAGCTGAAACAACAAAGGGATTAAAATGTAAAATTAAAAAATTTGCAAATCTATGTATATCTTTTATTACATTCACAATTAGTTATATAACAAAAATATTATCAAAAAACTCGAAAATTGCAGAAAGAGAATAAGAATATATAATTAATAGATAAATACATTTCGTGTAATGTGCAGAGTCAGTCTTTTTTTCTGTTTAAATTTTTGAACATTTCCCTGAAAATTTATGAAATATTTGTAAATTAAAAGGGAGAAAGAGAGATTATTTCAATAAAACTTTATTTTTTCTTTTTTTGAGATAATAGAGAAACTTTTAATTTACATATACAGTTGATGCAAAGCACGCAATCCTTGTAATAAATTATACAGCCAAAAAATTAGCGCGTTATTGTAACAGCGTGTTGGCCGTGTATGTACCAAGTGAAAATCGATACCCTTCTATGGGAAGCCAAAGAAACCAGTATTTGAAGAAAAACGATTTTGTATTGTACCCACGTTGTAACGTTTGCAATGCGGCACGCGTCACCCCTGCCACTGCCACGTGCCGGCCATCTAAATCTAATAACACAAACAGCCCCACAATAACGTACATCATACACGCCATCGTTTGGCAGCAGGAGGTAATGGGACACCATGTGAACTAATCGCTTCAGAGTGGTCCTCCAGATCTTGTTTCGCTATTTGTTGATTCCGGCTTGCTTTCTTCTAGGATAAATGGACTCCCAACTGAATTTCACGATTAACATATTATGCAAAATATTTTTCTGTGTTCTTTCTGTCGTAGACTCATATTTGTGGTACTTGAAGCTTTAAAAATATGTACGAGCCGATTACAGTATTTATTTAGTAATTGCATTTAAATTAACATTATTTTCTTTTGTTAATTAATTCTTACATTCTCTCAATATATTTACTTCCTAATTGAATTAAATATATTTTTATTTTTTGTGTATTGGTCTGCATAATAAGTATTCAAAAAATTTCAAACTACTGGAGGACAGAAATAACTCTGTAGAAAAATTTCTAAGATCGCGCCTAGGATTTTGCACATGCGGAACAGTTTCCCGTTAGCGTTTTAAATAATTCTTCTATACCCATTGCATCCTTAGAGCATTCAATGGATATAATAGAAGAATGCTTTAAAGCGTCAGCGGGAAATTTGCGCAAAAATTAAAATTTATTCAATTAGGAAGAAAATATCTGTATGCTATAGCAGATTAGAGAATGTAAAAATTAATCAACAAATAGTGAATATTTTAAATGCGATTATTAAATCAATACTGTAGCTCAATAATTGACTATTTTTGAAGTTTCACAGAGAATTATTCTTCTTTGATATATTTCATATCAAACTGATATGTATTAGAAATATTATTTGTTTGCATATAAGAAAATTGATACTTTCATAATGTAAATAAATTTCTAACGTTATTATCTGCTTTCGATTTATATGTGAATAAACAATTTAAATAAGCATCTGCATATTTTTTATTATATATATTTTAATATTAAATTTCTTATATAATGTTTAAAAATATGTATATATTATAATACCATAATCTTTTCAGAATAGAAATTAATTACACAAGTTCTTTCTAGTTTTGAAAGCAATTACAATTTAATACTTGTCACATTATAATAATTACATACGATTGTTCTAATAAAGTCAAGGGTAATGTGAGCAAAGGATGGCATAGAGAATAGAGAAAATCTTTTCTATCATCAAGATCTTTAGTTCTCAAAAAGTAAGTTTAATTTATTTCAATATACACCGACGAGTGTCTCCATACGCGCAAAGTGTGCGTGTCGTGTTTTTTTTTGCGTGCGTACAAGAACAACGCGTCTCGTAAAAGATGACGTGACGTGACGATTGAACTAAGGTTATACAATCAATATACATGTATATAATCAACATCACAAGATTACAGAGCAGTTAGGCTCCGGGACGAAGAATGCACTCCTCTTTAGAAAGAAAAGTACACACCAAGTCGAGATATGCAAAAAGGAACTCTTTACAATAATAATTTTTAACATTTTCGCAAACGAGATATGAACTACGCTCGTAAACTGCTGTAAAATTTTCGGGGACTAACTGGGGAGATTTCAATCTGGTATATGCTTCGTATACTTTCGTGAGTTGTATGAGATTTTTTTCGTTTCGGACTGGCTCTTATCAAACGATCGAAATCAACTATATACGTTTTATACAGATCGCGTTCGATCCAATTTTTTAACGTTTTCGTCAGCCTGATTTCGTTCCTAAGTAGATACCGGTCATTTATCTAGCTTTTGTTTTAAAGCGAGGAATGGAACGGATTACAACAAGTTCAATCTGCGAAATAGAATACGAAGACATAAACTCGTGTGATCGGAGTTACGTTAAAAAATTGGATGGCGCTGATACGATAATACGGATGCGCTACATAAGATCTACGCTTATTTACATCTATGTATAATAATTTTCACTCTAGAGAATGACGATAATGTCATTTCGTTGAATTCCTGGAAATAGTTTTTTTTCTTTTTGTACACGTTGCAACAATATTTACAGATATTTTACAAATTATAAGTTACACGTTACGTTAACTAGGCGATATTGATTAATAATTAATCGTAAGGGGTAGGAAGTTAAAATTTTGAAGTCGAAAATGCTCTCTAAAACTATGGTATCTGTTATTCATTGATAAGCGATATGTCCGTCGAGCGGTGTCAGTTTCTTTAAATCTTCATATTAGAATTCGCAATTTGAATGATATAAAACATTTGATACCATCTCAACTGTTTTACTCGATTCATGCGAATGGCTCTCAAGTTTCTAATTCATTTTATCTATTTTACTTATAAAATACAGAATTAAAATATTTTATAATAGAGACAATTAGATATTATTCGTCAACAATATTAAATATAGCAGATTATATATTATTGTTATATAGTAATGATATATTCGATGGAAAATATATTTTTCATTAACGTCTTCGAAGCTATTTTTACATTGATTGATCATAATTAATAAATCGTTGCAATAATAGAATTTAATTGTGCGTAAATGCGCAAATTGCATTATTGGTCTATTTCTTTAATAATATTAATTATAAATTACTAGAACATTGTTATGTGAAAAATAAAAAAATTTTTGAGAATGATTATGATGATTCGAGCCATTCTATGATCGAGCTATTATGTTTACAAAAAGACACCATCTCGTTGTTCGATATGTATTGTTTCTTAATTAGTGCGATCTCATTCGTGATCGACGCAAGATATTGTTTAGATAGATTTTTGCACTGCAGATTTGCACACGATTTCTCCTGGTGATTTCAACTCCGACGAAAATGATGGAAACGCGCATGCAATTTTTTCTTTCTTTTTATCACAGAAGAAGTAAAAGAAAGAATAAAAATCGCACACAAGTGTATAATTCGAATTCGCAAAGACAATGTACGAGAGTCGATGCAAAAATTACGTAGATAATTTATCTACACGCGATTGCACGAATTAAATCATTAGCTCGCGTACAATGTTTTTGCGAAGATTGCCATCGTTTATAACATTTTCGTTGGAGTTTACATCTCGTAACACTATTTGCCGTTTGACGAAAGCAGCGGACTGGCAGCGGCTGAATATCCCTGGTTGCATGTGGGCAACATAAACGGATTCATGTTGAAAGGTGATCCAACCACTTCTCCTAGTCCTGCAACATTCCCACTGTCGATTATACATTAGTAATGCATTATTGCTTAAGTACTATGGCACAACCAATAGGTAAAAAAATAAGCGACGAGAAGCAAGTAATAATTTAACGTTTATAATGATGATTGTTTGAATAAAATCGTGAAGAGAATGTCCATGAATTTCGAGAAATATTCATGCGAGAAATAATTGTTTAATTCTATAAATAAAGAAATTGGAGATAATCAGAAAGTTTGTGCGCTCGTTCTTTTATTTTTTCGGGATTACTTTTCTGTATATGTATTTTCTTTTATTTTATATTTTCGATTTTTATTCGAAGCTTTTCATTTTCAAACTAAAAGTGTATTTTATGAATGACGGCGAAGATTCATGGAATTTCCGATATGTGGATATAAATACGATCGGATAATAAATAGAGCTATCAAAAATAGAGATATCAAAAATATATGGCGTTTCGTAGATATAAAGTAGAAGAAATGCATCGTAATGGTTATATTAATGATTATAATAGATTTTGTAGATGCTTTGTACATATATATAATATGTATCATTACAATTTTATTCCAACAAAATTAATTCTTTTTATCACACATGAAACATATTTGTTCACTTAATATATTTAATTAACTGTGTAAAAAACTTTAATAACACAAAAGCGTGAGAAAATAAAATAAAGCACGCTGACAATTTTAAATAAATAATAGTGAATATTTTCTGCAACTAAATCAGTATAACATTATCGCGTCGTATAAATGAGCTTACATATATTCTCAAATGTCGTCTCTCATAATTCTTTAATCGCAGTGCATAAGGTGATGGTTGTAATGATGGTGTTGGTGGTGATGGTGGACGGTTAGCGGTTACTGGGCGGCTGTGGCGAGGTGGTGCTGTGTGGACCAGTGCGGTGGGACTGAGGTGGTCGGTGGTCGTACTACGGGGGCGAACGCACTCCCGTCCCCGGACGTATAGAATATGCCGTATTGTTCGTGCGCTAAAACGAAAATTCCACATAAGGGAAAATCATAAATGCATGCATTGAAAAGTAACGCTAAAATAGAAGAAGAGCATGCATGCTGGATACGTGGATACGTGGTATTAGGTTCTCTTTGAGTTGTGCCGACAATATCGATGCCAACGAGAGATTTTTTTCACTATAATATTGTTAATTATATTTCCTGATGATTAACACGGTTGCTATTTGTCCATAAAAAAAGTAAGATTGGAAGCAATTGTGGATTTGACAAAAATTGTAAATTAAAATGGACGTTGAACTTTGGCAAAAATCTGGGAGGATTATTATCATATATTGTCATAATCGAGCTTACAATACATGAATTGCATTTTAAGTAGAAAAGTGACATTGTGCAAAACCGGGATTTCATCCTGGCACAACTTGGATCTTGTAGATATATATATATATGATCGTAGCAATTTCGCATAAAGACAGGATTGTCTACACGAAAAGTGGAGAAGTAACGGACTTACGCGACGTGTAGAGAGTCGGGCTGCCGGTGTACGGATTGGCGACGGAGTAACTTCCATTGGTACTGTGACTGTGTGGTGTGCTGGCCGAACTACCGCAATAACCACCGCCGGTTACGACGCCACGTGGACTGGCACTGCTGCTCTGTCTGTAGGCATCGGTGCTCCCAACATTGGCCCCGACGCTGCTACCGCTGCCACCGCCGCCGCCGCCGCCACCTCCTCCATCGGCGGCAGCTCCTGTCGTCACGGAACTACCGTCTAGAAATAGAAACCTGCCCGTCAGACGAACTCGTCAGTATTTGATCGCTTAGGTCGTGACTGGTTGCCTAGCAAATTTAATTGCCTCGTCTTGATTGATGCGCAAGTCTTTATCGAAAAAGATTCCAAAGAGTATCATTATCAAATATTACAACAAGTGTTTCAAGTGTCTAATATGTGCAAGGGGGTGGTACGAGCGTTTGTGAAGAATATTTCGAAGGAAGGATATACATACCGTCTGTCCATTTCGCCGCGCTACCGTTTTCCTGTACCGTCACCGCGAGTTGCCCTGTATACGAATTAAAGGTTGCCGAGCTGGATGTAGGAGGTGCAGGAGCGTGTACCGAACCGGGACTTCTGGGTGCCCCCGTGATCCCCATGTTTCCGCCCTTGGGCATACTATAAATGGCTTCTGCTAGATCCGCCGCCCGTTTCAATACTATTTCCTTGGGAAGCTTCTCGGGGTCACCCGGATGCCGCGGAACGAGTTTCTGTAACCTTTGGAAGCCGTAGTCGATCGTGGGTTCGTTTACAGCTGGAAAAAAATTGGTAAAAATGCGTTGATTTTTACTCTACGATCGGCCAATTTTTTAATTATTCTCGTATTGGATTCTGTTGCGAGGAATATCGCGAACGCTCGTCATACTTACAAACATAAACAAATCTACCGGGCGCTCCTTTACAAAATTGTTTGCTTTTGTAATGTAACGTGACGTCAACAACGCCGGGTATCTGCCGTGCCGGTGCCTGCACCTTAATTGCATGTGCAGTGATAAACTGTAGATAAAAATACGAATATTGTTACATCTGCTGTCGCGAAATTAGTTAACTCTGAAGTAGAGATTTCTAGAAATGCTGCAAATTACACTGACCTCGCTCCAAACTAGCATCGACCCGAAAACTACTTGCAATCCATCGAAAAGTTTTCACCGATGATTATGACAGTAGATCCACCCGACGTCCAACCTTCATTAGGTGATATCGCTTTTATGCATGGCGTTTGAAGAGGTATCGGCGGATATAAACCTAATTTTGCAACACAAAAATAATACTGGCTCTTAGCGTATAATTGTATTTATATTTGCATTAAATGTAAAGTGAAATCTGCTGTCAGTATAAAAGTAAAGAATTCTAAAGCATTAGTTTTTTGACGATAAATAAAAAGTAAGAACAATAAAAACTCTATAAATTAAAAGTTTGATATAATTAGATAAAAAGTAGAGATATCATGGTTTTTCTCTCGAAAATAGTTTGCGACTGACGAGAGGATATGGAAAATTATCTGAATATTCTGTTTATTCGGTTGAGGCCGAGTGGCAGATATATTTTCCAGCGTGACAGGCAAGTTTTCGAGGTCGTGTAGCTCGTGAAGGTGAGAAAGAGGCGGAAAATGAAAGAGAAACTATGAAGGAAAGCGGTAGAAAGAGGATGAGACGGTGAGAGAAAGAGAGAGTACGAGGAAGAGACTGAGGGTTGGAGTGCTTGGAGAAGGGTTGTAACAAGAAGGAAGGGGAGGGAGCGATCGGGCCGCCGGTGTCTCTGCTTGGAATTTATAACCCAATGATATCATTTTGTACCCCGGCGAAGCCAAGCCACCCCCGGCACCAACCCTGGGCGAAGCGGAGCCACGGCAGAGTGGCTGACATCATGGTATATTGCTCCCAGTGATGCTCAAACACTTTCCACTTCGAGTGCTTATGTGCCGTCACGCCGATAAATCTCGGCGGCTTAAAAGATTCCGACGTTGTCTGTAGCTGGATGTGTTTAAAGAATATTCTCCAGATATTGTCGGCAAAAAAAGTAATACGTCCTCCAAATTAACGCGATTAACGATTATATCTTATTCTGCTTTTATTCAGGCAAATAATTAAATAATTTCTCGTTAAAATAATGTGCGAGATTGATAAATCACTTTAAATACCAATTTTGTAGAAGGTGTACATAATCTATAATGGAATAGTATCACGTGGTCGTCATATGTGTGATATATTTTTGCCCATCAGGAAAAGTCATCCATGTATGCACAATCTTTTTTTCTTCGGAAAAAATCAAATCAACAAGTGACGATCGCGCAGTGGAAACGCGAAAGAGTTGCGAGAGTGTGGTCTCTATGCAAATGGGAATTTTCCTCAATGGGACATTGGTATTTATTGCGTTCAATGTACGAGAAAGTCGTTAAAGAGAGTCGGCCGTGTTGGCAACCATCCTGGTAGAGAATTGTCGGTGTGGCATGGGTCGCCGCGATGGTGGAGAGGGAAAGAAGAGGAGGCAGAGGGTTGAAAAGAGGGATTCAGTAGAGGAGACCAAGGAACAAGCGTACCAACCCGGAATAAATAAAATCCCCCGTGCCATTGAATGGTAAGGGGTGTTACTCCCAACCCTCCCAAACCCCTCTTTTACCCACCGAACTATCGTCGAAGTCGAAGAGCCGTTGTACTCCGACACGTTCGGCCCGATTCTCTTTGATCACTGCGAGATCGCGCGATAACTTCGTTCTCTGTGGTAAAGACTCGAAAAATTTACCAGAAAAACTAGATTTTATCCAGACACAAGCAGGCGTTATATCACAACGATGTTCATACGTAATGATATTTTTTTTATTATTAGATTAGAACAGCTACCACTTTTCTATATCATTTGATGAAATTTTAGGAGGGTTGAAAGATTTTTCAAAGTTTAATTTTTTGACTTATTTCATTTCAAAATGTATTCTAGATAAGAATATTAAATATTCTCCCTGTTTCATGAATCAAATTTAGAGTTTATCTTTATAATCTTCACTTGCTCATAAATCAAATCTGAAAAAGGGAGAAATTCCGAAGCATAAAGTAAGAAGTTGCAACACTACTTTGTCAAATAAAAAACGTGTTATAAAACGACACATCGGAGAAAATAGGTCGTAAACAAGCGTTTCAGATTTCATGGACAATCAAGATTTGATTTGTACAGCAACCGGGAGAATTCGTTCACAGTGACAGCAAAATCCACGAGATACCGGCGTATTCTTCCCCTTTCTCTCGCGTCTGCTGCTTCATTGGTATGCTCGTTTCAGCGTTTGGGGAGGGACATCTCGCGGAAGAGAAAGGGGGAGGAGAGGATTTGGAAAGAGTGGATGTGTTGGTACCTTCATTGGCGTCGCGCAGGGTGGATGGCATGAGATAGCTTAAACTTAGCATTCACAAACCAACGCGCCGCGGCAACCACGGCGAGAAGAGCACGGGAACGACGAAGGAAGGAAGCTGTGCGAGAGAGATGGAGAGACCGAGATGAGAGAAGCGGTCCAATTCCGCTCTCTTTCTTTTCTCGTGTCTTTGCGGCAGCCAACCAGACAAAAAGAAGAATCCGGCGCGGCGGCGGATGTAGAGAAGAGGAAATAGTTAGATGTTGCATACGTTTGAACTCACATTTTTAGACCCACATTTTTCAATACTCTTGAAAATGTTTAAAAGTCGAGCTATTTAAAAAAAAAATATTGAATCTGTTATAATAAATGCATCTACATTAAATTTTGTGATAGTGTAAGAAGATGATTTTAGTAGATAAAGTTCTTTTCATATAGATTGTCTTTGATAATAATGCAATAGAGTTACTATATAATAACTGTATCCCGTCGTTTTTCGATAAGAATATACGTATATACGAACATGAATAATAATGTTGAAGAATGAAATAGGAACCATTATCCGAAAAATCTTTAAAGTATAATTTTTAATATAAAATTGTTTTTATGTGATCAATTTTACAATTATTTAAACCAGAAAAGGGCAACAAATTATTGTTACAGTTTTGACTTACAATAAATTTAATACATGCTTTAAAAGTTAGAGTTTGATAATAATATTACGTTAAGGCAAACATGTTTACGTACAAGGAAATATATTTCATTGTTATCTTTTTAGTGTAATATATGCAAAAGCAATTTATATAATATTGGCTAAAACACTAATACACTATAATATAATTAATCACATATATATTCCAAAGAAAGGTATAAAAGTTCCTTGAAATGTGCATTCTTTCTAGAAATTCGACGCTTTTTGATGAGCAGCTATATTTAATATTTATATAATTTTGGCTAAAACACTAATACACTATAATATAATTAATCACATAGATATTCCAAAGAAAGGTATAAAAGTTCCTTGAAATGTGCATTATCTTTCTAGGAAATTCGACGCTTTTTTTGATGAGCAGCTATATTTAATATTTTTGAACGTTAAAAAACATTTTCTCGAAAAATGCGGGTCTAAAAAATGCAAGTTGAAACGTATGCAACATCTAACTACTAGAGAGAAGAACCTTGGAACCCGCAGCGAGAAAGAAGGGTGAGAGAAGAGAGGCACTCGGGCGAAATTCGCGCGAGCAGAATGGAAGGGAAAATAAAGCCGAGGAACAAGAGGAGCGCGCGCGGAACGGATCCTTCGTTTTCTCGCATCCCATTGATTTACATCTTGTCTTGGAATAGGAAGAAAAGACGGAGGAAGAAAGGCTGCGCGAGGAGGTGGCCCCGCGATATCAGCCGTTTGTATGCGCGGCCGACGCCAAACTTTGCTGAATTGCCCTATGACTCCATATATCCCATTCTGCCGCGTCTCTCTCCCGCACCCAATCTTACGATTCCGTTCCGCCGCAGCTCCCGGAGTCGTTATACCGATCTCGAAGAAAACTGACCCCACTCCAGCTTCGAGGCGCGTCTGCATGAGGGAAACAACACGCCGCTGAGCATTCGAATTCGCGATTTGCCTCGAACGCTCGGGAAGTCGAGTTTGATTGGTTGAAACGGCTGAAAGCTCGCGAAAGCGCGTGAATCGTATTAACCGTGAAAAATCGATGCGTTGAATAAATGAGGGGCGTTTAATGCGCGCATCGAGGCTTTTTAATTATCGCCTGTTAATTAATTATGATTTTACTTTTTGCGAGTGCTTGGTTAGCTCCGGCGAAAAGCCGGGAATGCCCGCCTGCATTTATCGTTGGGGAATGCAGCAGCTAACTGCAAAATTAAATAACGAAAAACTGCACTGTGGTGGTGTGGGCCAAATTGTGTTTACGGGCAAATCGAATTATCATGTAAACGTTCCGTGCACGTTACGCGATTAAGTATGCAGGCGATATTGATGCCCTGTTCCGCATATATTATCTCTTTAACGACATTAATTAATTAATAGTATTTATCGATCATACTTACTATTATATTCGCCGGGATCACTGGGATCCAAACGTTTCGCTCTGCGTCCGTGCTTGCTGTTGTTGTGAACGAACATGTTGTCCGAGACCGCTAGTAATGGTCCCTCTACTCCCACTTGTGTAGAAATGACCACCTGTTAGAGACGAAATAGAAATTTTCTGATGTAGGATAGTAAGAGAAATATCGAAATATTTATAAAAAGAAATGGAATATTCATAAAATTATTCATAATATTCATAATATTAAAGATTATATATATTTGGAAATATCTTTATGAAAATTATGAACACGAGATTCCAGAGGATATACATATACATTTGAGAACATTTTTTTTTTCCAAGGAATAATATAGCATTTTTTATAAAACTATAATTATAGTATTTTGAAAAGAAATTAGTAAATTACAAGTGTTGCGTACTCTCATAAAATTTGTGTAATGCATCGTTTATGTCCAACTTAATAAAGCGTAGGGAAGATACGCTGAGCGATAGACATTACCGTGAATCATATTGCATTTCTCTCATGCGCATCATATACTCAGCCAAGTTCATCATATCTCTTGTGAACGAGCATAGACAATTTGATTTGCCGCACCGAGTATCACGACATGCAATTCGTGACTTGCACGTACGACACATGACACAAATATAATCGCGCTGATATAGAATATAATAGAATATAATTATAAATTAAACATACATATAAACATTATTTTTTATAGATATAATACTAATAAGACTTTATTTACGTGATCTTGAACAACTGGAAAAGAATTATTCGCTGAAACATTTATGCCGTTCTTTGTGGTGTTAAAAGATTTTCGGGGTGAAGCAGGAAGAACGTTTATAAAATCGCGCGAGAGCGGCTGGAAAACGCGGCCGAAAGTTTTGTCCTTCGCAACTTTGCAACTTTCTCGCAGTGCTAGTGATATTACTCGGCCGAGTAACACTGCCACCAACTTGGGGTGAAGGGACGATAACTCTGCTGCCCCGCGGTTGTAGAAATTTTCGTAAGGGCTGCACTAAAATTTTAATTCGCAACTTTGGGCAATAAGCAATTCTGAAGCAAATCCGAAAGTGCGATGAGTATTCTAATTTCAGTTCGTCGTCACGTCGACCCGTGAAAAGAGAAAACTAAAAAGGTCGAACAATATAGAGAGGAAGCTGAGTCACAAAAAGAGAAGAGACTGTCGAGATAATCTTAGTTTTTGGTAATTTATTTTCTAATTTTGTCTTTTGGTTTGATAAGAATGGAGGGAAAGATACGACTGTCGCTAAGTGAAAGTAGTTATTGTCGAGAACAAATAGAATAAGAAAGTGAAAATCGAGGATGATACTCTGAAAATTTGACAATCTTTTTGGATTATCTAGATTTGATATAAAAGCTTTAATTTTCAGTTTTGCCGACTTGTTGTTTAATATTAATATCATCGATTTTATTTATTTAAATGGATTTATTGATATTTAATTAAGTATCAGACAATAAGAGTAATATATCTTGCAGAAATTACGTAGAAAAATATTATTCTTTGTGATGATACATGTCACGCGATGTTGCGGTGAAATTTCAGCATTCTCGTCTCTGTCTGTCCGCCCCTAATTTCGCGGATCGTGACTTGAATGATGCAAGTGTCTCGCGTAATGTACATTTCAGTATCGCGATACGATCTGGAACGTCTTTGAATCAAGTGAGTGGAAAGCCGGAAACGATTAAAGCTTTAAATCGTGTTCGGTGAATCATTTGGTAAAATTAGTTTCAATTTGTATTTAAATTGTATATTTCTCTGCTTATATGAAAGATGCTTTGTATTACTATTGTTTTAACAAACGAACAAATCCATTAGTTTTCAAGTATGCTCAATTTTATTACTTTTAAAAAATAAAGATTTTTACGTAAGAATTTCATATCAACATTTCGGCTACATATGGAAGTAAAATTATTTTTATTAAATATATATAAAAAAATGACAAGTTTATATATATATTTAAAGTAAATTGAAAGTGAGGATAAATAAATCTCTTACCTGAAAGCGTCTCATGTCGCGTGGATTGCCAGCGTTCTTGAGGCAGTTTTGGTTACACTTGAGAAAGAACTTGAGGAAGAATCTGCAAGCACAGAGGGGACCAGATTTAAACGGTTGACAAGATGCTTAACGCTCTTCAACACCGGGAACTTAATTAGAACGCGAACTTGGACGGAAAGCAAGGTTGAATATTGTATAAGCCAATCGCGAGCCCCGTTCCACTCTTTTCTATTATTCAGCATTTCTCTAGATTAAACCTCCGACTACGTGCTTCTCGACCTTTAGGCCTGCGTACGGCATTGTATACCTATTTCACGAAATACGCAGCTGCTTTATTGTTTCCATTACTGTGTCAAAAATATTTTCCTGATTATATTTTTACAGCGAATAGATGCGTTGTTATAATTTGTAAGTTTACATATTTCTTATTTCCTATTTTATAATTATTTTTTTTATAAAAATCAATTATTTGTTAGAAATATTATTATAATATATCGATATTATATAATTAAAATAATTGAGTACAATTAATAAGCACATATGTTAAAAGTTGGAAAATGTTAGATATTAATCAATATTTTTCCTATATGCGCAAAAATCACATAAGACACAGAATTTTGTGACACAAGGATATGTACACGTAGTAGGGTTCTGCCAAAAAGCCGCTGGCTGAATTTTCATGAATTATGTAAAACGTCGGGGATATTGAATTTCAGGAAATTTTTTGAGACGCGGAGTATCCCCATTTGCGCCTATAGGAATGGAAGGGGTTGACTGAGAGACGAGAAGAGTGTGTTTGAAGATCAGGTAGCTGAACGTCAGACCGAGAAGGCGAAGGAAACGCGTAGGAAACAATCAGGAGGGCGAGACGACGCGACGCCGACGACGATGCTGGCAAGAGGGGAAAGAGGTAGTTTTCTGCGTGGTTGGTAGGCTTTTTCTCCCATGGGACGCCATTGTCATTTCCCCCAAAGAGTGCGTCCATGGGAACCGGGAACTTCATGGAAAAATCAAACGCATACCTTGAAGTAACGCATACCTTTTTTGTTTGCACTCTACTTTTATTTTTCACGTGTGGCAAAAATTTTGTCTCATGATTGTTCCTCTTTGATAGAAAGAGAGAGAGAGAGAGTGAATACTTAAACATTTTTTGCGTTGTATATAGAGTTAACGAAAACCAAGACAATATTTCTCTCGCTATGTATCCGCGATTTTGTCGAGAGTCTCTAATTCGTTTGTCGGGAAATCCATAAAGCTGAAAAGCGAAAAGTAAAAACGAAATGCATCCGGGGGCGCGAGAGGGAAGTGCTCCGACTGGAGTGAAGCGAAGGATGAGAGGCGAGACGGCACGTAGGGAATGGGAATTCGTTGATATGGAAAGAGAAAGGGAAAGAAATGTATCGATCTCGCGCGTTACACGCGTTTTCGCATCCACCACTCGCGGACCTCAAGTCTATAGTGTCTCTCCGCTGCGAGTGTTTCGGGCTAATGTCACGCGCGCGTTTCGTCGAGCGAATTTAATTTCGTTTACTCTTAGAGAACGTTAAGATGTTATCGCGGATGCTGGATGGGTATTCAAAGCATTGTAGCTTGGCTTATCGCGGCCGTGGATCTTGCTCTAAACACGATATCTTCATCGCGCCTGAGGCGTTGCCCGACGACGCTGCCTCTAGTCGTTTCCAGATAGGAATACCATCGACCGTACTTGCATCTACGCTATTGCGAGAACGGCGCGAGAAGCCGCCCCTTTAACGACGTCGACGACAACAGGAACGAGTCGGTAACCGCCTTCGAATCGAGAACGTTTCACTTTGTATCTATATTGAAATCGTGTATCAACGTTATTTAATAAAAAAAAAAACTCCTCCAGCGGCGGGATATTTATATGTCGTGTTTATTTCGATCATTCCTATGCAAACTATATACATGTATTCGGAGTGTGTTTAAGAACAGAAAAAAAAGATATGCAAATTTGTTCAATTTTAACATTCTATACATATCTGTTAATGAAACACGCAACATTAAACATGGAGAAATGAAAATAAATAAAGAAGAGAGTTTATTTAAAAAAAGTTTTTAACGATAAAAAGAAATTTTATTAATATCTGGTTGAAAAGGGAGAGGAAAAAATCCGAGGTAATTGAAATATTCCGACTAGTATTCCGCGCTCGGCGCTTCCAGTAAAGAAATCGGACGATCCGCTTTCAGAATTTGACGCTAACAAAATGACTCTACTTACGCAGGGAGGTTCTATGAAGAGGGAGGAAGAGCGCGCGCTTGCCAGGATCGGCAATGGAAAGATAGGTGGGCTATACATCTTCGCCTTTTTTTTATGGGATTCGTTCATCGGCAACACTAATCATTTACGACACTCCCGTCGCGCCGCTGCCGTACCACTTTATTCCTCTTTCTTTTTCCCTTACACGAGGTCGTTTTCCTTCCGCGCGTCCTCCGAAGTATTGGCTGTTAGGGGCTAATGGATTGCGTTATCGACTGATTCAAATGCGAACTGGATTTCATTCCGAGTTCGATGGGGCGGCAGTATCGATGGTGTTGTAACGCGAACGCGTGCAAGAAGGGCTAGTTTCTTACAGGGAATCAAATTCGATTTCGATAGTCTATTAGATTTTTCTCTTCCGTTGCCAACCTTCGCGAGCCTGCGTCAACCTCCTCCCGGAAAAATTTATTCCAAATCGCCATTCAAAGGATCCGATGGATTTGCTTTACGTCATTGAAACATTACTTCAAGTTATATGCTTTTTACATTTCAACCGTAAAATGTTTTTCTTTTTTCGCACGTATAACAATAATTTATTTTATTATTCACATTGCAATAATTAAACGAGAAAATAGAATATTTAAATTTTGAAATTTAAATTAATACTATATAAGCTACCACAAATTTTATCAATAACGTCATGTTTCATTCATACACATCTGTAATTAAAAATATATTTCGTCTAATGAAATATAAATGATTAATAATTAAAATGTGTTATACTTATGTATAAAAAGAATTAACTTTTTATCTGTATTAATATGTAAACAATTCAAAGTCTTTTTACACTAGACATTTGAAGTCTTCCGCGTTCGTTAACAAATTGACGCGGAGGAAATATACACAGGCGATTCGATTGCAAAATCATATCTAGTCTACCCTTCGCACACCTCTTTCCATTCCCTCGGATCAAATAGAATAAAACGAAGCAGTAGGCGGTGAAGTGAAGGCCGGGAGAGCTGCAACGGTATGACAGGGAAGGGTGACGGGTTGTAGCAGGAAACGTTCGTATCGTTCGCTGTTCCCAGTTTTACAACGAGCAACTTTGCAACGTCGGATGAATGAGTGAGTGAGGAAAAAAAAATCAACGATATAAATGAAAAAAAGGGCTAAACATCGGAGGCTCGCGAAGGACGAGAGAGTTGTACGAGCAGCAAGCGGGTAAACAGAGTCGAATGAATTCAATCAAACCTTGCAGTAAATCATCGGTATTCGCACGGCAGTTTTGTTTATATTTTCCGTGTACCAATTAGCGATTTTTCTCGCCGTACCGCGACGCCGATGTTCTTTTCTCCGCGGAAAGCAAACTATTGGCGCGGCGACCAACAAAATTTTCACGCTCCACGTGACGAACGTGATTTATAGGTACAGTTGCCTCATCGATTTTACATATTGATAAAAAAATGTATATGAGATAAATAACTACATATATTTAAAATGGCGGTATATCAATCTTTTTACGTAAATTAAAATTTGTGTCAAGTGACTCCAATATATATATATATATTTTTTTCAGTGTACCTTGTATATTTATAATATATAAATTTATTTGTGAGATATGTAATTTAATTTCTGTTATTCCAATTTATAAAGTATAGTAAAGTTCGGTGGACTTAGCGCGAATAATCTGGGGGAAAATGAGAGAATTACGAAGATTCTCCCTTCTCCTTGTTTACATGCTACCCGGTACGGCATGCGCGGGTGCCAAGTCGCAAGTAAGTACCTTCTGATCTAGTAAATATATTTCCAGCAGGGGCTGAATGGATATAGGGGGCTTACTCAGGGACTCACGCGTAATAGTTCCAAATAGGGTGGCATTACGCGTATCAGAAATCCATTTTCTCCCACATCGGAGAATCTTTAATCATGTTTTCAGTTCTCGTTGTGCACCCCTCTTCTTTCACCACCATAAAAGAAAGGATATAATGCGGCGAAAATTCAACGGCGAAGAAATCCATGATGAAACGCTTCTTTTTTTTGTATTCTTTTCGTTATACTTTCACCATTTCTCTTATATCGTGTCGTATAAACGATCAAAAATTATTCCCAATAAGATTAATTCGTGAGCTGAATACTGAGCTTTTTATACGCGTGATCAGAAAAGGTTTTATTACGTATAAAAACGATTGTGCTTACACTACAGAATCTTGCAGAATAGGCGTGTCTAATAGTGCTAATCGCACACTAATGTAAGCTATCGACTATTCTAGTAATATTATGTCTTTCCCTAATGCCTGGGAATAGCTTCGTTACAGTTTTCTTGGTCTCCTAATCTTGATGGTCTTTAGGTTAATTCATAATAGTTATTTGTACTTAAAGAGAAAATAATTATCACAAAACAATGAGAAAGAATTAATAATATAAATAATGTAAAAATGTAAATGCGATGGTTTTTCTTTTTCGGGATATTAAACGATTAATTCGAAATTATTTAGAAAGAGTAGAATATTTCCAGAGTAATAGACGGGAACGCTTACGTTTAAAAGCAACTTTTGTACGCAATACCGATAACTTCCACTCGATCGGATATATTTAAGCAAGAGAACACTCGGGAGTAATCACGAGTGCATAATGCAGACGAGCAAGACGTCAATTAGTAAGAATGTGTACGAAGGTCTGTAAGGTATAGGAAACCACCTAGAGCTGTATACCTTGCATACACCTTAACCGGGGTTAGTAAGGGGTTAGCAAGGTATCAGGGGATGCTTAATGTTTAACTAGCCTCCATTACGCCCACTGCCTCCCCAGCATCCCTCCTCTCTTCCTTTCTGCACTGCCGTCATCTAGCATCTACCGACTCGTTCCTTCG